AAAGTAACAAGTAGAGAACTGGAACTTCAGAATTCGCATAGATTTGCAGATCTTAGGTTTGGCCGAATCATGTCACTCTGCAGCATACGCCTACGGTAGCCAAAAACAGTGAATGAAACATCAAAATTAAGATTCTCCAAAAGAGTATAAACCAGTGAGTCTGGAGTAATGACAGGTCACCGGAATCCTTCTTGAAAGTTTAATACAAAAGTTTTCTGGCTACAGTTTGAAAATCCCAGTTAGATGGCAAACCTTTGATGATGCACGCATCTTGTAGTACCTCGTCACTGCTAGCATAAAGTGGCTGCAATTGCATTTATTCGGGAAAGTATAGGCCGCCAAGTATATCAAACGTGCAAATCCATGCCACTGCTCCAATGTCTTAAACAGCACGGGACTGAACAACAATTGCTATCGAAAACAAAGTACAGTTTTATTCTGGCTTACCAAGACATTCGCAGTGAAGTTCAGTGAGCATACGTTGCAGAAGAATCTTGAACACTAAAGTGTCTTCAGTTGGTGGTCTCTGTTTAACGATTTTTAAGTAGTAGTAGGATTTATTGAGTACTTTGTGAGTATTCGTCGCAGTTAGACTCAGGCAGACAGCCACCACACATCTGGGAAAGAACTAGAGGGCCGTTTCGTTCTATTGAGACTTGTCAGTAGCACGCAACCGCCGAATCCTGCCGGATTCAAACTCGAGACTTTACTTTTGCGTGCCAGCGAATTATGTCACTGAGCACTGGGCAACGACAGCTGAGCGTGATGACCGATATCAAATACGATATAGCGCGGCTCCTCCCCTACTGTCATGCATGTTATAAACGTTATCTTCGACGATCCTTGTCAAATAAAGTGGCCGGTATCATGCACGAACGCGGAGCTTGATGTAGGTGCCGCTACTGTGTACTCTCAAATTAGCTCCACTTAACAACATATTCGAGCATCAGGAAATTCAGTGTTCTTTGCGCACCACATAAGTGACCCAACCTACACTTACATACTAAGTGGAAGCAGCAATAAAGCTGGTTCTGATAAACTGTGCTTGCTACACTGATGCTAGTGAAAGCTTCCGAGCTCAGTTGAACGTAATTGCGTTGGTGTCATTCCAATTGTTTTGAGTAAGAATGTTCAAACGGTCTGGAGTCATGAAAGGAACAGCATGACTCTTGAAGTACAGTCGGACGAATCTGTAAATATAACTGCCATAAGTAGTTTACTCCTTTCCCATCTCATTTAGTTCATCATCATGACAAATCTCTGGGATTAGCTACTTACCACTGGTACTTTGACAATCATTTTCATTTTCTAAGGTATACGGGATTGGTGGCATCCAATTTTGGATTTCTGTGTCCCTGCGGCTTCCACAGGGACAGCCACAAGACGCCTGCGAATACAGAGGTAGCATGGGCGAATTACGCCACACAACCCACAGCTCGATCCACGTAAGTGATATCCTGTGCAAACCCAAAAGCATAAGTCCGGGAGACATGTGGATGGGAGCCACTTTTAATGAATCGAGGCAGCCGACACTGCTTCACAAACACAGCAGCAGCATTCCTATCTATCTATGTATGGTAATCATTCGCACCAGACTTACGCAAGACGGCGGCTGGGTCGTAGCCCGCTCCAAAGTTAATGCACAGAACCATTCTTTGAGCCTACCATGGTCCCTAGGACCGTGTACTCCGTCTTCCAATGCATCCATTAACTGTCTCCTGGAGCCAGTATAATCGGGGTTGCTGCTTTTCGACAGGTAGGCACCTTGTCAACATTCACATGAAGCGCAACCACACTGAGGACATCAATTAACCAACATATAATTTGAGGGCAAAGAAGCATAGAAAATTAATACGGAGTATGAAACAAACTACCAGAACTGAGCAAAACAAATAAAGTGGAATACTTCGTATATAAGCATTGAAGATATAGTTTAAGTGCATGTGTGAGTCGGCGTAGACCTACTGCATTGAAGAAGCACGAACTATAAAAAATCCACCTCAGCATGAGGCATCTCTAGTAGGAATAAGCATACACTTACTTGTCTTCATGAGGGTCGCCTTGTACAGTATTTTTACGCGGTTTACAAACTGCGTGTACTGTTTCTACCACGTTGCTGCTTCATAGAAAAGTCTCAGATACATTACAGTTTTTCTGTAACTGATGTAGTAATCCCCATGCAGTACGCCATTCTAACGCCCCGCTTCGTAGAATGCCTTCTGGTTATCATGCAGAGTGTTTAACTGAGCTGTCAGTTGCCTTATCCGTTCATCTAGGGAACACTATGTCAAAATTGCACTAATAAAACGCATAGTAGGTCAGCCAGTTACCAGAATACATGCTAAATGCCGTTAGGTATCAGTTAGTCAGTACAGGATCTAAAGGGGTCGTCAATCGGTAAGCCGTCAATGCAAAAATACTGGTTGTTACTGAATCAACGACTGATTTTCTACGCGCACCCCACCGGTGATTCTCCTAGCGGTGCACTTGCTATTGACAAGCAACATCCAGATTTGCCCACCAGTTCGCAGCTGTAATCAACAGTCATGTTCAGAGAAGATCTGGCAAAGGACGACTGCACATTTGAGAATAGTATGGACTTGTTGAACGAATTGTTTTTCTGTGACGCCAAGAACCTTTAACGGATTATTTTGGTTGTAAACAATGGTTCGCTATATAATCTTAAGAAAGCACGACTAATTAGTCTTGGTTTTTCCCCGCTGGTTGTGGCATGGAAAAACAGAATTAAGTGGTGTTTCGCTTTTATTTCTATCACTAGCCAGTATAGCGGAGAAGCGGTGGAACCAAAGGGCTTCAAATGTGACACGTGTCGTCATTAGTTGCAGTAGGTGTGAATAATGTCTGAACAAAAAAGTATGTAAGAGTGGACTACACTGTACTCCTCCACGTTCCCAGCTAGCCTCCCTTTGATCATGTAAATGAACACAGCTCTCATCTTTTTCGTTTTTACCCAGTATATTCACCCCAAAACTTATCTACTTTTTTCGTAACTACATACTTATTTCTCAAGTTGTGTCACCCTCACAAGTGACGTTTTGTGAGTGTCAACTTATCACCACTTTCTACAAGCTCGTCGTGGGATCGAATGGTCAAATTAATTTCAAACTACATTAGCCAAGCAGGGCTGAATGGCTGAAGCTGTTCCGTCTGATGGATGTGATTTTGAAAATGAGCTGCATTGAGTAGCACATTCGCTCACTGGGGATGAACTTTGTACTTTCTCTCAATGAGTAATGATTGCATGTTCAAAGATTCATTATATACATTCGATTGCCTATAAATACCATAAATAATGTGTCCCTATTCCTGGTGATTCAGCTGAAATTTTTCTATAGGAGCAATCCTGTTACTTTAGGTGCGATCATCTGTGGTTCAAAAAGGTAAAGCTAGCAATTATCATTATTGTTATTTCGATATCCCCACCAACTATCCAACGGGACTTGTAAAGCAACGCTTCTTAACCCGTATAAATTCATTGTTCATTATTCATTGTTCATTACACAACAGAAGCACAAGGTTTTGCCCACAAGCGTCAGATTAGATGGGTTAGAGTAAACATATAAGATTGGTTTATGCCGTCGCCAGATAAGCAGATGTGAAGCGCTAGTGGTTATTGCCAGAAGTCCTGCATTTGTTTTTCTGTGACAGTGGCTGACGATATGGGCGAATGTATCACGACAGAAAACCGATGTTCACAGGTGTGTTAGAAAACTTGCATTACATGTTGAAAATTCGTTTGTGAGACACTTAGGTCGATCGGATACCACGAACGTAAGTTAGCCATTGGCAACACAAAGAGCAAAATCCACACCCACAGCGATTAGACATCACGGTTCGGCGAATGATTAAGTGACCGAACATCCTGCTTCACTGCAACAGCACGCTCGCGGTCGGCTGGCAGCCATTACCCTACTATTTTAAACAGTAGAATGAGCAAATTGAGCCGTTGTATACACCAGAATACAGAATATAGAATCCAGTGAAATTCGGCTGCTCAAATATGATTAATTGTAGTTAAAATATCCACATACTAAGCTTCCCCTTAACCGAAGATCGACAAAACAAACTATGGTTTACAGGCCAATCTCATTATTCGATAAAAGCTTAGGGGTGCTAGACTGGAATCGAAATTTCATTAAGTTTATTCAGCCTTGGATCTAGATGCAGGGTTAAACAACGACGTCTTTCATATACATATCCGGCATCGCATTCTATTGCATCAAATCAGATCCAGGTCGGTTGAGTATCACACTTTCTTGGTACAACCGGAGCTGTGTTAGTTAAATGCAATCGCACATTCTTAAACAAGCACGTTGGGATTTCCACCCAAGCTACTGTGTTTAAGTGTGTAGTACCTACTGTATGGGTGACCAAATTTGTTTCTTTAATACCTTTATCGGAAAGGTTTGTTCCAATAGAAATGGTTTGGAGCATCATAAACTTCCTTTTATGGTAATAGCAAGCATATTCCATCCTATGCTGCAGCCATTCTGCATCACGTGTGGCTGCCATCCCTACTACTTGTAATGAATCCCCTACCACTAAGTAAGCCCCCAGTTATAATGCACTCCAGACTTCATTTACATTTGCTGCATTAAGCTTATTCAGACCTTAGATATAATCATTGCCTGTATCTATGTGAATGTGTCTTCAATACGCTGTGAAGAAGAGACCCAGTAGCAAATCACCCATTTTCCACCGAACACCCTTGTTTCCGCTTCTTCCAAATTACTCCAAGTGGGAGTTTACTGAGCGCTAGACATGCTGCTTCAGTGCTGGCCAATGTTGACAGATAATTCAGCATTTCCTTCGAAGGCAGACTCAACCCAGATATCTCTGTTTCGGTTAGATCTTTGACATACCCGAGATTTTTCAGACAGATTACTCACGTTTACGATTACAAATGTAACTATATTATATTGATCCCGAAGTAGTATGGCCGTGCTTTTCATGGTTTACTGTGACAGCAGGAAATTTGTTCAACCACCACGATTCCCCCAAACCAACAATAAAGGTTTACTGACAACTTCAGCTCACCAAAATCGGCCATCTAGCACGTTCCTCTCTGGGTGTCCGCTTCTGAGTGCAAGTTGGCTGATCTTACGGAAACAGAATCAATATTTACTCATCCAGCATGTCCAATGATTCTGAGGAATTCATCTTTGCAACGCTGTATCGAAAAAGGTGGCTGATGCTCTTTCTATTCTGTTGCACCTCGTTGTGCAATGCCTATCACTGGATAAATCTGTCTATCATTTCGGATCGAGTCTTGGTGGTATGGAACGCAACAATTCCAGGTGAGCTATACGCTTTATATTGACCAAATTTGTAAGTGGTGAATCTTCTACAAATTAACTCTTGATCTAAATTATGTAAGTTAACTGTCATCTGGTATATAAGAATATGGAGCTCATAAAAATTATTCCAATTGGAATTCGATTTTAAAATGAAAATTGGTGAATGGGCTTACAGGTATACATGCTCAAGGTTATGCAGTTGCATCTGACACACTTGTGACCGTACGTTGACACTCCCTACAATGTGCGGCATGTGAAATTTACTTGTCGCTAGGACTCTAGATACGTTAGTAATATCGTCAGTTTTGGGAAGTGTTGGATTCATCGGTAGTCGCTTGAACACATCAGCTTGACCACATAAGCTCGAATTGGCTGTTCGACGCTACGTTTTTTCGCGTAGTGAAAGAAAGCATACCTATTATCTGCCATCATCAATTACAGAATTTCAGTTATGAAGCTTTTTTAGAAATTTATTCCGCTTCCAAGTTAGCAAGTGAAAAGCTAGTAAGTTGATCCATTCGCTCATGCAAAGACAGCTAAATGCTTAACCACGTGATATCCGCGTCGACTTTGCTTGGTAATTTTGAAACTTTGCAGACCGTTCTGTGATACACACTATGCCATTCGAATCTTGTTTACCTCCAATCTGTTGATGAGCTTGGCCTGGTTGTTGTAAGTTTTACAGTTGACTCATAGGCTATATTAAATGACAAGCAGCATTACATCACTGCCTGTATCACATGTTCCAGGTAGCACGGAGGTAGCCAGACGGATGGCTGTGGACTGGATATCACTGGTCTACTTTGTTACCTATATCCCCTTGATTTTTCCGGCATTTTTGGTCCTGAATCGATTCGGACTTCGAGTGACCAACGTCACCGCTGCGGTGTTAAATACACTTGGCTCTTGGCTCAAGTGCGTTGCTTGCGTATTGGCAACCCATACGTTGAACTCTCCTTCAGCACCGGGGTTGGTGTCATCCGCCTATCCCTTGCTCATGACAGCCCAAACGATTGAAGCAGTAGCTCAACTTTTCGTCCTGGGTATCCCGTCCCCTTTGGCATCTACGTGGTTTGGAGAAAGGGAACTCAGTACAGCCACATCGATTGGAGTGCTTGCGAATCAAGTAAGCTATCCCGTTCGTCAGTATCTCCAGAGTTGAACTGTTTTAAGCTGACTGTATTACACATCTAAACTAATCAAACGCATACCCACTGCGTGGTCTAGAACGGAAAATTAAACAAATGAACAGCAGTCGTCAATGCAAATGCTTAACTATAAATAATGTCTACAACACGTATGGTCTGTTAACATGAAGGTCGAGATGGCTATTCTAAGTGAGTCCTCATTCTTTACCTAATTGCTGCACTGCATTGGCTTAAGTTTGCTGCGAAGCATCACCATACTACAGTTTGAGGTGCAGTCTGTATATTACGTGTATGTAAGAGCTCAAACTGTTGTAACGGGAAAAGGAAGAACCTTCACACCGCGCATATCTTCCTCTACTGTGTGCATGTTACATACAGCGGTGTAACAACGAGGCTTGAAGTAAGTTTTAAGGAAAAGATTGTGGGAATCAATGGCTAGACGTCTGAAGCCGCATGGACAAAGTACAGTTTCATCGCCAAATTGCCTGTTTAGCAAGACAAACGACGCGTAAGGAAACACCGTTTCTCAATGGTATATCTGGCCGTCATTTTTGTGCACCGTTAGCTCTGTGAGACACATGGATGACTTAGACCGAATCAAAAATCTGTTCATTAAATTAACAGAACCCATAGACATTAAGTGCGCTACACAACGTTATAAGGCATTTTGTATGCAACAAGTCTTCAACAACCTTTAAACTATTCAGTAGAAGTTGAGGAAGAAAATGACTTCACTGCGGAAGTTGTCGTTATAAGTGACGTCTGCATAGGGAACACACAACTTCTCCACTGCGCTTAGAACTTGCAAAACATATTTGTTCGGCAGATCGATTAGGGAGAAATCCGGCGTATAACAGCTTACCTCTATTTACCGAGCCGTACCGGGATAAACACAATGAAATTAACCTTGGAACATAAATGTGTGTATACTAAGCTGCGTTTGCTAATGACAAACGAATTGGGAGACACACATAAAGGTGACGAATCAGTCTCAACTCTTTAACAACGTGGTATGCAGTAGATATGTCAAAATATTCTTGAAATATTCACTAATTAACCACAGGTACGAAGAAACCGGAATTAATGATAACCTGGAATTTGACTACTGTTTGCCGGTGATAATGCAGTTTTGAACATTTTAATACAAACTGACTTTCAAAAGGTCGATATTTGATTCCCTGAATAAAATTCATTACCACTGTGATCGGGCTACCACACATCCATCGGGGAGTTGTCTGACCGTTCCACCTTGTTACCACCCATCAGTAGTGTAGGTTGCACCATGTCTATGAGATTGGAACCCATCTAATGGAGGGGGATTAGCTTAAATCGTTGCGCTGGAGGGGGTTCAACGCTACGCCCCATCTTGTTCTTTGGTTACAGTAGTTTCAGTGGCCAAGGGCACAGTTCACCGTATTCCATTCCACTCCTATAGCTTCCCATTAGCACGTTAATGCTGAATGTTTACCTCAGTACAAGGAGCAATTACGGCATGCTTTCCGGATAGATTTTGACGCGCAATCTCAGGTTAGACATCGATTCTCTCCGGAGAGAAACCCACATCGCCTTAACCAAGCATGCTGACAGTGGTTAGGGATAACTGCGATTAATCTTTCAGTAGAATCATTCCAAATGCCATGTTGCTGTCTTACAGCTATCGAACACAGTCGCCATACTTTCAATTGCAAAACTGATACCTCATTTATTTTCTGTTCCCCAGGTCTTAGTTCAGCAAAATTAATCAATGAAATCCCAGTTATGCAGTTAACTTCCTAAGCCAAATCCTATAGGTTTGGTAGCTCAGGATTTCATTCGTGATCAAAAGGTTTACATTGATTGCATCATACCATACCTGTATGGTTTCACGTAGTTGATGTAACTGACATTTGGGTGATCGCGGTAATTCAGCTATCCCACACGTATGAAAAAGATCTTTAATTTAAGCTTGACCTCCACTAGGAAGTAGTTGCTTTTTGAGACCGCTACTAAGACTTTGCATTCTTAATTGGCACAATCTTACTCCATTCTGTTTCGTACTAAATACAGAGAGTCTGCGGGCGTTTGAAACCTACTACCAGTTTACTGTCTTTGATGCTGGAGGGACTTTGACAGCACATCGGGTCATGTAGTCAATTATCTGAATATGGTTTTTGAAACGTTACGTAAAAGCTGATCAAGATTCCCAGTTGTAAAAGATAAATACATGCGACATTTGACACGGCATCTTGGTTTATGTTGTCTGCCAGACCACCTGTTCTAATTGCCTGCCTCAATATGCTCGTAAACTATAAAAGCTGTAGCGACATGGTATTTACAAGTCCCGATTTCTTTGTACATAGGACAATGACAGACTTGTCAGCTGGATTACTTTATATGGTGCGCCATACTTTTCTTGTTAGGTAAGATTTAGTCATGACAGTGATGTATCTAAGACTTCAGTTTCTCCAGCTAACCAGACTCAGAGCTGACCATTCAAGCTTGTTGATCAGTGGAGCAAGTTGTCGCAGTAACTACCGTTTGTCAGTTCATATTGCTAAGACGAGATTTCTGTAATAGCTCATGCTGGATTGACTTGCAATATTTGCGTCTTCTTTAAGTCAGTATTGGCGTAAACTACTAGATCATGCTACTCTGGTGTCCATGCATCAAAAAACAAGTCACTGAATTAGTACAAATACCCAGATTTTATTGGTTCATCTTTGCTAAGAAACCTTCAAATATAGGCTTTCAAAGCAAAACCAAATATGCGAACGTAGGTTTAAGATTTGTGAAACATATTAAAACATTTAGCATGTTTGGTTCTTCCATATGAAAAGCCAATGGAAGCAGGTTCATCCGATAGTATAAGAGAAAACTAGAGATTACAAAAACTCCACATTTGTCTGGTTTCCCCGGGGAGTAAATAAAGATGCATTAATGCTCAAAGTCAGTCCGATCAATAGGCCAGCAAGAAACCAGCTTTGTTGCACTATTCCAATTTGACAACTTATCGACCCAAATAACAACTGAGCATGTGATGGAAATTATTTATGATTTTGCCCCGTAACAAAATGATTGCGAGTATTCAGTGCAGACCAAACGACTTCTTATGACCGAATTCGACTGCATTGCCGGGTATCAGTCAAGGTCGAATGGCAAATGAGTTTGGTACGGAAAACCTAACCGCCTATTTTGCTATGGAAAGCCGTTGCATAAGGATCAAAACGCATCCTTCATTGTGACAGTTATTACCGCAAAGTTTCATCTACTCAAAGATCCCACGATAAGAAACAAACTCATCTGATTCGACTCGTTGCAGTGACATTTAATAATTATCTCATAAGATTACCGCTCCTCATATTACAGTTAGAGCTTGAGATTTTTGACAGGTATATTTATGGGCGATTTGACCTACCGGCTCAGCACAAATTACTTGATGACTTTATCCCAATTTCCACCATTTCTCTGTGCTTAGACTGTTGAGTGACTAACGCTCTGCTTCTCGATAACCCATGAAACGTAATAGATGTTCCACGAACACTCAATGGTAAAATGATAAATGTGTTTTGCAAATTAATAAACTCACAAATTCTTCTGGTGTTCTAAATGACCTATGGATTGTTTGTTCCAGCTGGGTACCGCACTCGGCTTCGCAATTCCTCCACTTATCGTTGGGACGTGGTACACCGCAGAAAACGACACAATTGGGGCAAGATATGAACAGATGCACCGCGAAATTGAATACCTACTCTATGGAAGCGCTGCATTTACCACCCTGCTTGCCATTCCGGTTATCTTGTGTAAGTTGACGTAAGTATTTTCGACACTATGTTAAGCTATTGCATGTAGCAAGTGGAAAGAGGCATGATATGTCGAGCCAAGAATGAGCTCCTATGCAATCGGGTGGGAGTACATGTTCATTAATTGGTGTTAGGCATTGGAGAGTTACTCAAGTTCCCCATACTTTAGCTGTTTCCAAGAGCATCACGAAATGTCAAGAAGTACGTAAATGTTTTGCATCTGTGAAACCACTTTATCAGTTGGTTATACTTAGTGACTGGAGGGATCGCACAATTCAGTGTACATACACATACAACCGCATAATATCTAAGACTTTTCTATGCACACAAATGGTTGTTTCTCTAGCGGTAGGTTAAAACTCAAGGTTCTAGTTTGTTTGCTATGATTTCATTGATCCCAGCCTGAGCTGCGCCATCCTTACTAATACACTTGGAACACTGAGGAACACAACGTTAAATAACAATACCTGGAACCAGCAAAACCAGCGTGCAACAAGGTTACTTTGGGCTACATCTAATTATCGAATTTTCAATAGCACCTGTAAACAGTGACCCAGCTAGAGTCATACTAACTTGAAGCAGCAGCTAGGCAACTGAGTAGCAGCGTGCTGTAATGCCAATTGTTTACACCAGTAAGCTTTCCACGGTAAACTTAAAGTATTTTTGGTGATTTTCTGGCGTCCGAATGCTGTGTTGCTCTCCAAAACGGTAACAATACTGGGTGGCGATCAGAGTACGTCAGCCGCAAAACCATTTGCCATTTGTAAGGAGACGTCAGACTTCATAGATAGAGTATCACTCGACTTTTCTGCATGGGAATGATTCAGGTGTGAGTTATAAAGTGTTCACTGAGCAAATTTCTTGACCGTGGTAATAGATCTAGAATACTGGTTATTTGAAGATTAGTACACTACCCACTCGCACATCTGCGGACATCAAAAAATAGACTGGAGCTTAATCAATCACTAATGCCCACTCTCTTGGTCGTTCTATACCCTTATCTTTTACTATAACTTTCCAGCCTATAGCTTTGACCGATCTGTTAATGGTTAGAATCAGAATAGTCAAAGGCAACTTGTTACTCTTGCTGGCATTTGGGATTGCCTGTCCTCGTTGTTTGCAGCGCACTACTTTCCTACATTTTGGTTGTCTTACCATCTGAATCCGGTTACAGTGATACTAACTAATCCTTATTTTGAATACATAGCTTTCTCCCTATGACTGCACACAATTCCCCTGTGACACTGTATCAAAAATTGAAGCACAATATTGGCCTACACAGCTTTGCCTACGTGGAAGTGTGGCAGATCCCATAGTTTACTCTCACAGTACTAGTAGGGAGGCAGTATTCCTTATTCAGACGCCAACTTAGTATCGCCGATGATGATGCATCGGATTCAAGTGGAATCTCAGAAACGCGTAGCAAATTGCCCGCTCTGCGGCTAAAACATGAGGAACGGCGATCATTCCGATTTTCGGGGATGGAGTGTTTGCTCTTTTTCGAAGAGCTCTGTAAACGCTTCTACTTTGACCAAAATCTTGTCTGCGTCGTTCACTATTTCCTCTGCTTTTCCGCCTTAAGCTGATGAACCAATTCTCAATTAGTGATGAAAGTTCAGAAATGGTCCAGGGAGGACCCCGGTCCTATGCCAGAAACTATTTTCTCAGTAATTCTGCGTCCGCTAATTATAAAGTATTTACCATATGTGCGCAGAGCACCGATCTCACAATGCTCACCTAACTAGTCTGCAGTGGTTAGCTAATTTTTCCACTGTATCTGGACAGATACATTGTCATGTTTAGTTATGAATTTTATGGGATCTCTCTAGTGATCATTAACTCTGGTTCGACGAAAGTCATGCCTAACAGGCAGCGCTGTTTAACTTATGGGGTATTGCAGGACAATTCATTCATAACCAAAGCAACAATTCTCTGGTTCCAGCCAAGTTGTTAACCATAATTGGTATATATTCAACTAGATGAGGCACGACCCAGCTAAGCTGGTCCGATCATAGGTACAAAGAGACTCAAACTGAGACTGTATTTAAGAGCACGTAGAAAGGTTTCTATACAACTCTATCGAATTACGAAAAATCAAAAACATTTAATTGTGAATCATCAGCAGTTGTGTCTGGTTCGTTAACCGTTTATCCGTGTTCGGTTAGGAGTTTGTACTAGTGTCATTATTTCCGGGCATACAATGTCTTCTTTTAGCATTGTATGTGCATCGTTTCACAAAAGCACAGGTTTCCGAAATAATCGTCGATACGGGTTTTAAACACTTCACAGAATCTGCCTCTATTAGTCCTTCTGGCAGTGTATTCCATAAATTTACGATTCTTCGTTCGATAAAAAGCTGATGTGATACTTTGTTCATGCTGGGGACCCTGCGTTTGTAAGGGTGTCCTCGGGTGTTACAGGGTTCCCGCAGGTGAAATATTGGCCGCAGCATGGGGAAGTGATTCAAGTGTAGTACTCCATGGGTCATAATAAGGTCAATTCTTACTCGGCGATAGGATAGTGGGTCATCAATTTAAGTAATATCGAAGGATGTGACAAGGTAGGAGGAAGGAATGGGAGACAAATCTGTTATCTAGCAAGGAAAATTCATGATAAGGGTACGCTGTATTTCACGTTGTCGGCAAGCCTTTCTCGCCAAATTTGTCTATACTTTTATGTTGCGAATTCCGCAAGTACTTAGATGTTATCAGACGCGTTTTCTTACCTACATTTTTTTTGTGCAACTGACATGAAACAGTTCTTCAACTGCAGTAACAGTTAAGTACTCTTTTAGTTACAGCTTAAATGTTAGAAGCGAAGATGTACTTCTGATGATCTGAAGCGATCTGTTCCATAACGTGGGATATTTGTGGGCACAGCTGTTGTACCGCAGATGTGTGTGACAACGAGGTACTTTAATCCTCTAGCCTGTGGTTCTTAGGTCGTACGGTGAAGATTCTTGAAACACCGGCTGATAGTAACCAGTGTATGTCAGTTGATGAACAATTTCGCATAATAGCCATAAATTCAGCCATAATCTTCTCAGCCATAGCGCTTCGAGTTTTAACAAATGAAATCTATTAGTGAGCATTGAACTGCAGCCCACGATTTTTTGGTAATCGACCTTTGTGTGGCTCCGACTGCACTCGTGTTGCATTTTTTAATGTTATTAAAAGTGGTGGCGCAGTATTCCAATAATGGTCTGAGGTGCAGTTTGAATGACAGCAGCTTAACATCGCTTGTCGTAAAAAAGCGGCTTATCATTCCAATAGTCTGTTATGTTTTAGCCACCGTATACTAAACTTGTTCTTTGAAATTCAACGGACCTGAGTAACGAAGACCTAAGTCACACCAATTCGCATAAAGGAAGTGGGATTCCATACAAAACAAACATTCAAGTGGAACTAAGCATCCATAACACATAATGCTGCATTTAGATGTTGAAAATTTCGTGGAAGATCCCATTCACGTCTTCCAGGGAAACTAGGCCAGTTTGGATTGCAGACATAAAAGACGGAGATTGAGAAGCAGTGACATACAAAATTTTTATATCATCTGCAATCCAATAAGGTCTACCATGCCTTACTGAAGGGAAAAGATCATTTACATATATCAAAAAAGAAGAAGACCGAGTACACTATCTTGTAACACGCCCCTAGTAATATCGCTTGTTTCCGACAGATACTCATCGATCTTGACTCTCTGCTTTCGACCAGTGAGATAAGGTTCTAAGCAGGATAGTAGTGAGCCTGCGATCCCACAAAGGTAGGTTTATGTATAGGCGTTCTGCATGAAACCTAGACAAAGGCTTTTTGATGGTCCAAGTGAAGTACGATAAAGGCTTTACCAGAGTCTGTCGACTCCGTTAACTGATCAAAGAAATCTAGCTAGCAAGTAACACTTGAACGCTTTTGAAGAAATCCGTACTACCAATGTGACAAAAAGGTTGTTTGATGTTAAAAATTTAACGATTTCATTTCTAACTAGGCGCTCCATGATTCTGAACAATATAGCAGTGTAATGTATGGGTCTAGCCCCGGGTTTATGGCGTGATGTTACTATCGTCAGTTTCCACTGATTTGAATAAAACCCAGTTGTCATTGAGGTAGTAAATAAGTCTCGTGTAAGCAGGGGACATCATTCCCATCGGACTTTAAAAGTAGTGGAGGGATTCCATCTGGACCCGGACGAAATGTTGTATTTAAAGCTTTAATTTGTCGCTTGATTGAACCGAACTCGAAGTCTGCATTAGGGTTACATGGCCCACAGTATTTTTTAGGTAATCCCAAAGTATATCGTTCTCATTAGTAAAAGAATCGGCAAAATAATTGTTAAAAGCTTCAGCTACAGCTGCAGGAGCATGGGTGAGGACACCCTCAGGCATAATAAGATGTAGCAGTGGGTTTCGTTGTGTCTGAATCCACATTTAATAATCGTGTTATCTCAGAAACTGGATAACCACTTTTCACGATTACTGCCTCTTCTTTCTTGAAACGAAGAATTCTCAACTTTCCATTTTTTGTCAACATTCTGTGAAGCCTAAATAGAACTGTAAAGTCCTTAGTCTGTTGAACCTGTTTGGAAAGAACTCTAAGCTCACGTTCGTGTTGTTTCTGGTGTGGCTGTGACTTATTTCGACAGCGAGCTAGATCTGGCGACAGGATTTCCATGCATCAATTTATGTTCTCATGAAATGCTTGAAATGACACCTTTGGATTAGAAGACAGGAAGAAATCGGTCCAGTCAGAAGTATGCACCAAGGTAGTAAAGATTCTCCAGTTTATTCTACCAAAATGATACACGTGCTAAAATTGGCTTTTATAGTGAGTATATGCAATGTACATTTTGCAACTGACAACATTATGGTCACTACCGTGTACGTCGATAACAGCAACTATGGCTCTAGCAGTGAATATGAGGTCGAGTGCATTATGCAACCCTGTGGGAGATGTTACATGCTGTGTCCAGCCTCCCTCGAGCGAGCAATTAAAGATTTTAGT